TTGTAAATGTCCTTACAATGGCCTATAACGGCACAACTATGACAAAGCTTCAAACCGAGAGCACGTATTCAAAAATTTTGAAAGCTAGATACGCATTCATAAGGAAGAAATGGGTAAGTAATGGACGAATCCATTTTAAGGCCATTTCAACGTCGGATACTTCTAAAGCATCTTGCAAGGAGTCAAATAACGTTGACCATGTTTTGTCCAATTGGCTGGCTGATTAGCTTTTAGCGTAACTGTCGAAAAGCAACAGTCCGTAATCGTTACTGGTGAATCATTATGGGCCGATTCCAAATATCGCCTCAGATCTCCAATTTTGTGACGCAAGTTATCCGTCATTGGCGATTCAAAATTTCAAATTTAAAATTTACCTAATATGATGACGATTTAGGTCTAAACATCATGGCGCAGTTGGGTTTTTTGAAGATGGCGTGTCTTGTAGTTCAAACATTCCCGGTAGGTGTCGGTAGTTGTCAGTGGTGGGTAACCACCACTGACGCAGGCTCTTCCCTGAACTCCCACGTTTCGGCGCCATTCCCTGGAGTGCGGTGTTGAAAGAAGGTACATTGGAGTAATCGGAAAAAGAGAAGAGAGAGATATATTCGCCACAGTTAACGTCAATTAAGCATAGGCATCCTTTACAAGCAAGGGAGTTCTGCACCAACAACAAAGGACAATGCCGCATGATAGCGCGAAGAGAAAAAGCAGATGACTTAATGCATTGCTTGGCTCTCTGATTCTGATTCCTCACGTCGGTTGGCGGCTGCTTTCATTCACTACATTCACTTCGGGTAGCATCGGTGCACCGGCGTGGCTGCTGCTTACGTGGAAATCAAGTGCATTATGCATCCTTTCTTTGGTCGCGATCTTTGCTGTGGAGACATAGAAACGAGATGAAGCCGCATCACCCCCAGTTTGCTGTATAACCAGTCTGCCTACCATCCAAACAGCTTCCGACAAGCGATCAGATGGCGTGAAAAGTAATCAAGTTGAGGCTAAATGAGGTGAAAGGACGAAACGTTGACAAAGGCACGTATCCAATATATGCTTCATAAATCAAATATTAAATGACGTCATCAACATTTTGAATAGTGAGTTAAACCTCACAAAAATGATCATTATAAACTGTGAGATAGACGCAAGCAGTAAGCTGTGGAACATCTAAGAGGAGATGCGGAGACATCCTAAGCAGGGCGGCCATGCACAGCTTCAGCCAGCCTCTCCGCTGTCAGTTGTCCAACCAGCACCGTCACCGCTAGAGGTATAGTTAAAGCCGCCACCGACAGCTCCTCAGCTGCAAAGCCTCCGCCGACAGCTCCTCAGCTGCAGAGCCTCCGCCGACAGCTCCTCAGCTGCAGAGCCTCCGCCGACAGCTCCTCAGCTGCAGAGCCTCCGCCGACAGCTCCTCAGCTGCAGAGCCTCCGCCGACAGCTCCTCAGCTGCAGAGCCTCCGCCGACAGTTCCTCAGCTGGAGAGCCTCCGCCGACAGCTCGTCAGCTGCAGAGCCTCCGCCGACAGCTCGTCAGCTGCAGAGCCTCCGCCGACAGCCCCTCAGCTGCAGAGCCTCCGCCGACAGTTCCTCAGCTGCAGAGCCTCCGCCGACAGCTCCTCAGCTGCAGAGCCTCCGCCGACAGCTCCTCAGCTGCAGAGCCCCCGCCGACAGCCCCTCAGCTGCAGAGCCCCCGCCGACAGCCCCTCAGCTGCAGAGCCTCCGCCGACAGCTCCTCAGCTGCAGAGCCTCCGCCGACAGCTCCTCAGCTGCAGAGCCTCCGCCGACAGCTCCTCAGCTGCAGAGCCTCCGCCGACAGCTCCTCAGCTGCAGAGCCTCCGCCGACAGCTCCTCAGCTGCAGAGCCCCCGCCGACAGCCCCTCAGCTGCAGAGCCCCCGCCGACAGCCCCTCAGCTGCAGAGCCTCCGCCGACAGCTCCTCAGCTGCAGAGCCCCGCCGACAGCTCCTCAGCTGCAGAGCCTCCGCCGACAGCTCCTCAGCTGCAGAGCCTCCGCCGACAGCTCCTCAGCTGCAGAGCTCCGCCGACAGCTCGTCAGCTGCAGAGCCTCCGCCGACAGCTCCTCAGCTGCAGAGCCTCCGCCGACAGCTCCTCAGCTGCAGAGTCTCCGCCGACAGCTCCTCAGCTGCAGAGCTACGCCGACAGCTCCTCAGCTGCAGAGCCTACGCCGACCAGCTCCTCAGCTGCAGAGCCTCCGCCGACAGCTCCTCAGCTGCAGAGCCTCCGCCGACAGCTCCTCAGCTGCAGAGCCTACGCCGACAAGCTCCTCAGCTGCAGAGTCTCCGCCGACAGCTCCTCAGCTGCAGAGTTCTCCGCCGACAACTCCTCAGCTGCAGAGCCTACGCCGACAGCTCCTCAGCTACAGAGCGTCCGCCGAAATCTTAAACAGAGCCGCCTGCGGTCACCACTGGCAGTTCTTTAATCAGGGATGCCACTGCCAGCTGCTCGACCAGAGCTGCTCACAAGTTTTTCAACCAGAGCGACGACCGGCAACCCGCCAGCTCTTCAGCTGCAGTTATCATGCTGGGCGGACAGTTTGACGATTTGAAATAATGACTTACGGTTATGTTGTGACTCACCGTCGATCTAATGCACCCGCTGATATTGAACGCCCAAAAGGCCAAGGGAAGTGGCGGGCAAAAAAGTCCCGTTATTCTTTCGCTGCTACTACTCTGCTCCTTAAAGAAGCTACAAAAGGCTGAGTGCATAGGCATATAGAAAGACTAGGTAGAAGAAGAATCCAAGGAGAAGACCATATTTTTTGGCGTAAGCTAGATGCACTTGAGAATATTTAACACCCAGGCCATGTTCACGCGGCTCATTTTAGTCTGATAGGGGCGTGCCGGTGGCGCTGACCCAGAAACGTTTGCATTGCCTCAAAACCGTGGATTTTATTTGCCGAAGGTTGCGTTTGTTCGTGGCGATGAAAAACCGTGTGATGTTGCAAGGATGCTACCACAGCCCGCGCCGCGTAAGCCGGACCCACTTCTCGTTGGGCAGGAGTTGAGCCACACAATTACTCTCATTGCTGAGGCTCTGGT